CATTATTCAAGCTTAACATTCTAACTTCCTTTGTTTATAAACTGATCATTGATGTACCCATACTTAAACTCTTCTTATCAATCCTTAGTTTTACTCAAACATTTGAATTCTCACTTCCTTCACTTTATCACTTTACTATAATCACAGTATACAATTGTATCCAGATTCACTTCATATTTGGCTTTCATAACCTACCATATCTTGAGATCTTGTAATTTCAATACATTCCGTCCCATAATCTTGTTAGCCCACACTAACTCTTTCCATCTTAAATACGAAAACAGTATCTACCTCACTTGATACATTTAAAATACTTCTTATCCTTCACATTATTTAATTTCTAGCAAAACACTTAATCCATTCCTTGATCTTTATCCATTTATCCTTTTATAATCCGCATTGTCTTATACATAACTAAACCATATCATGTTCTTCATACTCCCATACTCTTTTATATCACATATATTTATCCTTAACTATCACTCCTTATCACATTTTCCTTACTTTGATAGACAACTTTACTCGCACAAAACCTTATTCTTTACCATTCTTATACTTATGTTTTCTCCACTTGTTTTAAAAAAAATCACCATATTTCAATACTCATCTAATCCATTTAAAATACTTTTTCTGCTTCGATTTACATAACTTCTAAAAGAGCTTTTAACCCAATTCACAAGGGTTGTCTTTAACCCTGACTTATCCTCAATTAACTCTTTGTTTAATCTTTCAAGATCAAACCTACTGTTGGAGTCTGTCGAACCCTCATCTGATTTGATTCTCTGACGGAGAATACAACTAATTCATGTCTGTTTAAAGTTGAACCAGAATCTCTACCTTTCTTTGATGGTGCTAAAATTCTATGAAGCACTAATTCTCTTAATCATCTGAGATTTTATTTCTCCAAACTTTTCGTTCTGAGCTTTTTCTCTTTAAAGCTTTAACACAATTAACCATTTCTTGAAATGATAACAAATTCAAAACCAATAACACTCTTTTAATTTAAGGCGCAAGTCCTAACAACAAATCACATGTATCATTTTCAGTCGGAATTAACTCAACAGCAATTCTGCTTAGCTTAATAAACTTATAATCATACTCATACAAGGTGTAATTCCCTTGTTTCAAGCTCGTGTATTCCAGTTTCATTTGTCTTATAAACTGGTCATCAATGCACTTATTCTTGAACTCTTATACAATTCTAATCACTAATTCATTTAATCTTTTAACGTTCTTATGGTGACACTCGTTCATCATATTCCATCTTATCCACATAATAACAAACTTCTCAATTTAATTTCTCCACTATGGAGAAATGAACATCTTCTAGCATTATCTTCATATCATTTATCCAAAGGTCTGTAACAACAGAGCCTTCCTCAAATTCACCCTTGAGCTCGGGTACTCATAACTCTTTTAACTATTTCTATACATTCATTCTATGAGTTAACGAACTATACAATTGAAAACACATTGGAATATCATTCAACATCCTGAATCATTCTCTAATCTTATAGAGACATTCCCTGAGGTTTTCGCTCTTCTCCCTGCCTGGCCAGGGCAGGTGAATGCTATTACCTTCAGGTCTATCGTCTTGTATTTAACTTTAGAAACTCTCATATCATCTATTCTATCACATATCACGTGTGCATATGATCATCCAATTCATATCATATAACATGTCATTTGCATATGTTCACATATCACCTATCATATCATATAAACATATATATATCTCATAAATCATTCTCAGTATTCTAACATAACAATTTAACTCTATTAAAAAGACAGCACACTCCTTACCCTATCAGATCAGATTTTTTTTTCACTGTATTGGCATGTACACTTTTTAAAACACTTTTGATTTCGTTTTTAGCCTAGAATCGGCTAAACCGTAGCTCTGATACAATTAAATGTAACACCCCAACCCGTATCCAACCCGATACGAGTCTGAAGTGTCGCATTGACTTTTCAAACCTTTATTCGTATAAAATAGTGAGTAATTTTAAAAACTTTTATACATTTAACTTATTCAAAACATTTACAAAACTATCAGAGCTTATTCAATATATTCTTTTGATTACATGCCAACTAGAACTTTATATAAAAAAAAATATGCATTATTCACCTCTTTGATCTGACATTCGGTAAGGAGAACTGACCTTCCTTGTTCCTCTTTACTTCTCTTTTCGCTTTCCAAACCTACGTGTGAAACAATCACACGCTAGTCGATGACTAGTGAGGCATATAAAACATAATATTCATATAACATAAATCATACATAAACATATACCATCATTATCAATCTCTATCATTATCATTAAGAAACACATATAACATCATATGGTTCATGTAACACATTTCAAACCACTTACTTTGATAACCATTTATAAACCCATCGTATACATATCACATTCAGCATATTTGTTTAATCTCTTTATTAGCCTATGTACACTAGTGAGAACTTAAGGTATGTGAGTACATTGAGGTTGTGCACACATATGCTGTCACCACAGCTCGATCAATGTCCCGAATGACCACATATCATTCCTTAAGAATCATATACATATGCCAAGGATCAAGTATGTGTCTCACCAGACTTCACACATGTTCCAAAGAATACATATATGTCCCGAAGGACCTATCCAGAGGTCATAAAGATCCTCAGTAATTATCCAGAGGTCATAAAGATCCTCGACAACTGTCCATAGGTCCCGAAGAACCTAGGTATATTGTCCATATGTTCCTTAGAACATAGGTATACTATCCATATGTCCGAAAGACATAGGTAATTATGTCCATATGTTCCGTAGAACATAGGTAAACCCTCGATTCTTGGCATGCCAACTATACCACTAGCTCTCATATTACTAACATGGGCATTATCATATGAATACATTTCTCATCACTTGTTCTTTCTCTTCTGTCACATACCATATATGTGTAACCATGTATTTCATATCATATCTATAAAATATATTTGAATCTCATGTATTACTTATTTCAGTTTCACATAGCTTGTCACATAGGCATATATTCTCATATATTATAATTTCATATAGTTCATATCACATATCACATATCACATACATGTAATCATGTACTCATACACATAGCATTATAACAACACATACCTCTATGAATCATGCATTTTACTATTGGAATAGACTTATCATAAGTCTTATTTTCCATTTAACATCATATCTAAATAATGTGCACTCATCGTGCACTACTGATGCATCGGTGCATAAAATACATTCGATGTTGTTTATTATTGGGATGCATCGATGCATGCCTTATGCATCGATGCACTAATTGCATTCGATGTTTCTATTTTAAAAGAGTCATCGATGCACTACCATGCACGATACACCTTCAAACAATTTCTGGGTTTTAACATTGATGCATCGGTGCACTATGAATATGCATCGATGCACTCTGCCCAAAACCTCTTTTTGAACCCGAAAATTCCTTCTTTTTGGATTAAATCCTTCATATTTCAACCCCTTTTATATTCCTAACTTTCATATACATACTTAAACTCATTAATATTCATTTATCTCATCTTTAACCTCTAAATTTTATCTTTCATATGGAAATTCAAGAATCATACTCAATTTCTAACATGTTCCAAATTCCATTCAATTGCTTCTAACTTTTTAATTAGACCCTTGACAAGTCAAATCCAACTTTAGAACTTCAAAAACCTTTCTATAACAAAAGTTCATTTATAAACCCTTAATAGAAATTCCTTTCTAATTCTCTCTCTTTGGTGTTTTAAACTTATATAAGCTTTCCTTAAGCTTATATAAGCTTTCCTTAAGCTTATATAACCCTCAAAAACTCAAATCCAACTTAAAACTTTCAAGAAATCAAAAGCTAAATCAAACTTACCTTTGCTCTTGGCTTCCACGTAAAGAAGAAGAAGAAAGGAGAAGAGCACTCTGGAGAATTCTCTCCCTTTCCACGTGTATTTATCCTTACCAATCCCATTTTAATTCATTTCTTGGTCAATTGACCTTTTTGCCCTTTATTTCCTTTAATAATTACTAAATAACCTTCATCATATATATCCAATAATCATTGAACTATTTCATTTTTCTACTTTAATCATCAAATTCTAAAATTTTACAATTTGATCACTAACCCATAATTTAAAATGTTACAATACATCTAATTTTAAATATTCTTATAGTTGCATATGATGTGATATATTATTTTATAAAGGACGGTCCAATTGTATTATAGCTGCACGTCATCCTATTCCTTGAAATATCTCGAGTACTGTATTAACATATAGTTAATGCAAACATGAACCACAATCATTTCATCTTTAACTTCCCAACAAGCTACAGATATAATGATTAATTTCTCTTTTCAAAGACTCAGTCATGTGAGGAGGTAAGAAGACAAATAATGCCCCCTTGAAATTTGATTCACTCATATGAATTTTATCATTTTTATTTTTATTAAATTCTTAAACATAAACAATTTCATTTTTTTCACTCAGCTACAATTTCATTTCTTTTTAAAAGGGTTACACTATAATATATACTTTTATATAATACAAAATTATGAGTTACAAGATATACAAATAAAAGAACATGTTATAAAGTTGAAAACATAAACTGAACAAAAGAATTCGTTCATAATTCTTTTTTAGTTCATTAATAAACCCAAAGGGGTTATAGTTTGGAGATTTTGAACATTTATTTTCTCTTGTCGGTGCTGTTATTGTTTTTTATTTTTATATCGGCTGCGGTCCCAGTGACCAATTGGAACGGCATCCTACTAAATGAGTACCGGGCTGCGATCCCAACGCCCCAACCGGCTTTTTCCCCATCATAGTCAATAGACATCGGACAAAATTTGAAGACAGCTTACTTGCACAACGCAACCATTATTGCCACCTCCAAAATGGAGATTATAGGTAGGAACATTGAATATTACAAGATGGAATGGGCGAACGTCATTTCCATGTAAAAACGTCATCAAATAAGTTAAAGAACATATGGCATGCAGAACTCTTATTGATCGAAGTAATCAGCTTCCTTAATCGATATAAGCACTGTAAAAATTTAAAAAGCTAAGCTAACAAGCTTTTTAATCATGTATATTAATCTTGTATAAAAATATAATGACTTCCTTTTTACCCCTATGATCTCAGTGAGTTGTAAAACTTTCGGGTTCGACCATAAAGTATTAAGGCGAGGAAGGTTCCGATAAAACAAAGGGTACCCCATAAAACGAAGGTCTTTCTATAGCATTCCATGCCAAAGCATTTCCCCTCTGCATTTCCTTCCCTGCGATAAACAATGGCAGCGAGGTAACCAAAGAGGAATGATCCGATCGGGATGTTGGCTACCACGACGTTATGGTTGACGCCGAAATTTTTTGTCCCGAAGAGTTCAGTCGTTAAAGATACGGATATGGAAGTAATTGCCCCGGTGCAAACTCCGATGATGGCGGTGCTGATGTACAGCCATAGCTCGCCGCTGTCGTTGACAAGTAGCAAGAAAAAAGCTGATCCTGTTGGGACCATTAATGCCACCACAAATGCTGTTCTTGATATCATGTATTTGCTCCTGAAATTTCAAATTTGAATTAATATGGCTACTTCAAAGCACGATCAACCTTCAACCGACTCTCATTTGTTTGCTTTTAAACAACCTATAAGAAAGGACCCCATATTGCCTTAAATGTAACGTGATCATAAACCGTCAGTTGGTGGACCATACCGAAGATAAAATGAAAATTAAAAATTGGTGGGAGCATGGGTTATCTTACCTTGAGAAAAAGTAATCGACAACAGAGGGTACGAGACGGCCAAAGAAACCGAACGAAGAAGATAACGAAACAAGAGCTGATGCTTGACATCCCCGAGATTCAGCTATTTGTCCCAAGTTGTTGAAGAACACCAAGCCGAGTGTAACACCGAAAAGATAAACAAAGAAATACAACCAAAAGCTCAATCTCCTTAACATCACCTTCACACCGATCTCCTCCAACACACTGATGATATCATTTGTTTCACTTACGTTATCATCTCCGCTACAACTTTCGCTCAGCTCTACACTAATGGAACTGATGCTTATGCTTTCTCTAATCTCTTTCGTCCCACTCTCCATAATGTCCATGGAAACATTATTAAACTCCTCCACGTGAACTTTTTCCTCTGGATTTAATCTGTTCAATATTCTGGCTGGTATAAGTTGCTTGGTTTGCAGTCTTAGTCCTAAACCCAGGGGAATTAAAAGTGGGGCTACTAGCAACGCTGCCATACCAACGGCACTAGTTAATGGTGATAACTCGCTTGATGCTGATCCCAAACTACCCACGACAGAAAAGGCTCCTGTGGCTGTTGTTATGACAAGAATCAATATGAATGCAGACTTGGCCCTCTTTGTCTTAACAACATTAATAACTCTAACTACTGGTGCAGATACGACACTAACGGCGAAAGGTAATACAGAGCTAAGAAGAAGATAGGCTTTAGCTTTCTCCATGGCTGAATAAGGGAAAACATCTACAATATCTGTATAGATTTTCGCACTTAATCCCAGGTAGCTACCGGTCAATCCGATGGCAAGTTGACGGTCGAGGGGGAAGTTTTTGATTGTGACGATGTAGCAAACGGTATTGATCCAACATATGCTATTTCCTTCCAGAACAGTGAGGAAGAAAATGGCACCGTATGACAAGTTGGAGACACGGCCTATGAGGAAGAGATACTGCACTCCATAACCGATCAACCCGAGAGCCGAACCCAGTATAAGGACGAGCCACATGGGCAAGTAGTTGGCAGCTATGCCTGATATCCATCCCAACAGTTTACCAGCATCAGAGGCAAAGGCAAGGTTATTGAGCTGGATTTGTGAGATGGAGAGGAGATGCTTGAGTTGAGATGAGTAAGCTGGGAAATTGGTGTTGGTTCCATTAATGGATTGAAGCCAAATGATAGCAACTAGGCTAAGCCATTGAAGAAAAGTTCCTGGCATGGCCAAACCCAAAGGCGAAAAGAGATTCAAAACAAAACAAAATGTCTCTTGTTTGTGTGTTGCGGTGCTAATGGCGTATTTAGGGGGGGGGGGTGGAATCAGTGTGTTGGCAATGGAGGAAGAGATAAAACGTCGCCTTTTGGACAAGAATTAAGTTGTTCTTAGAATCGCTACCACACATTGTATCATTAATTAATGATTTTCGATATTTTTTTCCTACCATCTTAACATAAACTAAGGGTCGATGAAAGGCAGTAAAAGATAGAAGACGATGTCCTTAGATGGTAACATCATTCATGCATGGGGGATGAGATGTGACCCAAATTAATGTGTGGGGGGGCATGATTAATTTTATGCCGCCCAGGCGTCCAAACAACCATAAATACTGGTTTGATCGGGCCCACTTTTCGGCTGGTGATCTTTCTAGTTAACCTCCACTTAATTTAAAACTGAGGAGTAATTAAATAATTAATGTGAAGTTTGAAGCCACTAATTCCAGCAAACAGCAGGGAGGAGGATCTCATTATCACCTCGATGTTTTATTAGAAGAATATCTTTTACATAACAACGAGGCTCCCATAGATGTGGACATGAGAGGAAGGGTCTCTGTTCAAACCTCAGCCTCAAGGTGATGGATCGCGAGATGAACTTGCGCCCACTTCTTATAGTTGGTGGAGTCTTTAATTTCGATTGGCAAATGTTTGGAAAATCTCGAACTTTTAAACTAGAAAAGCTACAGGTTACAATACAATTTCAATAGTCCGTCCCTGCCCTGTATAGCTCTACGAACACTTTTAGTTTTGTTTTGCATGCACTTTTTTGTTTATGAAGTATGAACATGTTGGGAAATAAACCGAGTACAAGTAATTTCCCTATAATCAGATTAGTGAAAATGCAAAATAAAAGTGGAAAAATAATACCCGAAATTGATAACGTAGTTCAGCCAATTGTACTTACGTCTCCGGAAAGCTGCAGATCTTTTACTAAGAGAGAAAATTTACAGGTGTTTACAAAACACTCACTACTCACAAGAAAGCTCTCTAGTATTGGGAGAAAGAAATGATTTTTGGGATGGTTTTGAAGCTAAATGAGCTAGGGTATTTATAGTTGAAACTTAAGGACTTAATCTTGTAAATACCCTAAAACCTAGGGATTAATTGTGATTATCCCATTATCATTTTTCAACAAACATCTACCAAACTTTGAAAAACTATTTTTCAAAGAAACATTTACCAAACTTTGAAAACCATGTTAAAAGAAACATTTACCAAACTTTGAAAATCATTTTCAAAGAAATATTTACCAAACTTTGAAAACCATTTTTCAAAGTTGGTTACCAAACTTGAAAACCATTTTAATACTTTCAACAATCTCCCACTTGAAGACTGATTTTAATCTGTCTTCACACCTCAATCAATGCAACAACTTTTCTAGTCTTGTTACTCTAGCATGCCAACTGAAGTTGAACACAACTTCAGTTTGTCTGTAGTCACCGTCTTTGTCAACATGTCTGCCGGATTTTGAGCTCTACTGATCTTTTCAAGTTTCAAAATCTCATCTTCCAGAAGAGACCGGATAAAATGATATTGCAATTGTATGTGCTTTTCCCTAGAATGAAAAGACGGATTCTTTGCTAGATGTATAACACTTTGACTGTCGCAATACAAGACATTGTTTTCTTGTTTCTTGCCTAACTCTTCCAAGAAACTTTGAAGCCAAACCATCTCCTTGTTAGCTTCCGTAACAGCGACATATTCTGCTTCAGTTGTGGAGAGCACAACTATCTTCTGTAGTTGAGAAACCCAACTTAGTGCGGTTCCTCCTAGAGTATAGACATACCATGTAGTGCTCCTTCTAATGTCAATATTTCCGGCTAAGTCAGCATCTACATAGCCTGTCAGTATTGTATCTCCACCTTTGAAACAAAGTGCTTTGTTTGTGGTACCCCGCAGATATCTGAGGATCCATTTGACTGCTTCCCATTGTACCTTGCCCGGATTATTCATGTACCTGCTAACAACTGCCACTGCTTGAGCAATATCTGGTCTGGTACAAACCATGGCATACATCAGACTTCCAATTGCTGAGGCATACGGTACCTTCACCATGTGTGCACGTTCTTCCTCCGTCTTTGGTGACTGTTCTTTGGAGAGTCTGAAATGAACACCTAAAGGTGTACTTACTGGTTTAGCATCTTGCATGTTGAACCTGGAGAGTACTTTGTTGATGTACTCAGCCTGTGATAATATCAAAGTCCCCGACTTTGTGTCTCTCTTGATCCTCATCCCAAGAATCTGCTTTGCAGCGCCCAGATCCTTCATAGCAAACTGCTTTGACAATTTTTGCTTCAAGTTTATAATCTCTTTCATGTCTGACCCTGCAACGAGCATGTCATCAACGTACAACAATAAAATAATGAAGCTATTGTCGAACCTCTTGATGTAGCAACAATGATCTGCTTGGCATCTGGTAAAACCACTGCTACTCATGAAACTATTGAACTTCTTGTACCACTGTCTAGGAGCTTGTTTTAAACCATACAAGTTCTTCTTCAACCTGCATACCAGGTTTTTCTTGTCTGCCTCTATGAAGCCTTCTGGCTACCTCATATAGATTTCTTCATCCAAATCACCATGAAGGAAAGCTGTCTTTACATCTAACTGCTCAAGATGTAAATTCTCTGCAGCTACAATTTTTAACACCAGTCTGATTGTAGACAGTTTCACGATTGGAGAGAAAATTTCATTGTAGTCAATACCTTCTTTTTGATGAAAACCTTTGACAACCAATCTCTCTTTGTAGCGTTTGCTCCCATCGTGCTCTTCTTTGATCCTGTAAATCTACTTGTTGTGAAGCGCTTTCTTGCCTGGTGGTAATTCAGCTAATTCTCACGTCTGATTTGACATAAGCGAGTCCATCTCATCTTTCATGGAAGACTCCCACTTGACTGAATCCTCAACTTGCATTGCTTCATCATAGCACTCTGGTTCACCATTGTCAGTCAGCAACAAGTAGTGCAAAGAAGGAGAATATCGTTGGGTTGGTTTAGGAATTCTGGAGGAGCGTCTTAGTTCCGGTGTGCCTGGTTCTTCTTGAACTGCTTCATGACTGATCTGAACATCATTTCCAGAAATCTCCTCAAACTCAGCAAATTCATTTGTTTCAGCTTTGGTATTGGAGCTGCTTGATTCTACAGTTGACCTGTCTTTGTACATCACATTCTTATTGAAAATGAAATCTCTCTGCTTCTAATGATCTTCCGATTTTCATAGTCCCAAAACCGGTAACCAAACTCATCACTGTCGTAACCAACAAAGGCACATTTGTTGGACTTAGCATCAAGTTTACTTCTTTCAGCAGAGTCTATGTGTACATAAGAAATACAACCAAACACTCTTAAGTGTGAAAGGTTTATTTCTTTCTTGCTCCAAACTTCCTCTGGTATTCTGCCATCCAAAGGAACTGAGGGCTCACGGTTGATCAAGTAAGCTGCAGTGTTGATAGCTTCAGCCCATAGAAATTTGGGTAATCCGACATGTATCCTCATGCTTCTGGCACGTTCATTCAGAGTTCTGTTCATGCGCTCTGCTACGCCATTCTGCTGCGGTGTCATGGGAACTGTTGTCTCCATCTTGATCCCATTATTTGCGCAGAAATCTCTGAATCTCCTATTTCTGTACTCTCCTCCATTATCAGACCTCAACCGCTTGACTTTCATACCAGTCTCATTTTCCACCATGGCCATCCATTTTCTGAAGGTATCAAAGACTTATGATTTCTTCTTCAGAAAATAAACCCACACATTCCTTGTAGAATCATCGATGAAGGTGACATAATAGAATGAGCCTGCAAGAGATAGAACTGGAGATGGTCCCCATACATCAGTATGAACCAACTCTAACTTTTCAGCCTTAGGTGTCTTACCAATCTTTGCAAAGCTGACTTTCTTTTGTTTGCCAAAGATGCAATCCTCGCATAGTCCGACATCTACATTCTTTAGACCCGGCAGCTTCCCCTTTGACAAAAGTGTATTCATCCCTTTCTCGCTCATATGGCCAAGCCTTTGGTGCCATAGGTTTGATTTTCCATCAGCATCTGCTACTGCAATGATATTCTCTAAATTTGATGTTATATATAGAGAGTACCAGTTTTCTTACGACGAGTAATGACGAGTGCTCCTTTGGTAATCTTCCATTCACAGCCTGAAAAGGTTGTGCTAAATCCTTCACCATCAAGCTGTCCTACAGAAATCAAATTTCTTTTGAGGCCAGGAATATGTCTCACTCCTCTCAGCGTCCAGGTGGTCTGGTTTGGCAACTTTAGTCGGATGTCTCCTTTTCCGACGATCTTCAAGGTTTCATCATCAGCTAGATGGACCTTCCCAAAATCACCACTGACATAATTTTCCATGATTTCTCGGCATGGGGTGGAGTGGAAAGATGCCCCTGAATCCAAGATCCATGATTTAATCGGACTGTTGACGCTTAGAATCATGGCAACACTTGTCTCCTCTATCACGTTGGCAGATTCCTGTGCGCCGATATTTTTCTTCAGTGCTCGGCAATCTCTTTTAAAGTGACCCTTCTTGCCACAATTATAACAGGTAAAATATTTCTTTCCCGTTGTGGATTTTCCCCGTCTGGATTTCGATCTGTCATGATTTGAATTTCTTTCTGAAGTTCTCCCTCTAGACTCTGTGTGCAAGGCTGAGGAGGTTGATGCTTCACCCGATTCTCTCCGTCGAATTTCCACTGAACTCAACTGAGTTGTGATTGTGTTGAGTTCATTTAGGTGTTGTGCCATCGATGCCCCTTCCGTCATCCGCAAATTGAATAATTGCCTCATCAAGTGCACTTTGTTTGAGGCTGATGGCTTCTCATACATACTGGAGAGAGCCGCCATAAGACCCGCCGTGGTCTTTTCCTTGGATATGTTGAAAGCAACATTGCGAGATAACGTCAGTCGGATAACTCCGAGGGCTTGTCTATCGAGAAGAGCCCAGTCTTCATTCTTCATGCCCTCTGGTTGCTTTCCTGAGAGAAGTTGATATAGATTTTTCTGGTATAGAAAATCTTCAATCTGCATCTTCCAAAAGCCAAAGTCCGCACCATCGA